AGAGGAAATCCCTATAATAACATTATCTGAATTGACAGAAACCTTAAAAGAGGTTAAAAACGGAAAAGCCGCAGGGCCTGGAGACATTTCCATAGAGCTGGTTAAATATGGACCGACTGGACTTTTAGAATTAATAGTAGACCTTTTTAATAAATGTATGTGTGGAGACCAGGAAATTCCTAAATATTGGAATAAATCTTATATAAGCTCCATATATAAGAAAGGGAATAAAAGAGACTGTTCCAATTATAGACGTATTAGTGTGACGAGCTCTGTGGGTCAGTTGTACGGCAGAATATTAAAAAAGAGGGTTGAAAGACAGATACAAGATATTGAAGAACAAAGCGGCTTTCGTACCGGGAGATCCTGCCTTGATAATATATTTATCCTACGACAAATAATTGAAAAGCGTGTCGAAAGAAGTAGAGAGACCCATTTGGTATTTATAGACCTTGAGAAAGTATATGATAGTGTCCCATGTTAGAGGTTCTCGAAAGGTCCGGATTGGATTCGACGTATATCCGAACGATATATAAATTGTACGAAAATGCAGTTAGTTGTGTAAAAATTGAAACCAGAACTTCAAATGAATTTAAAGTCACTAAAGGCCTAAAGCAAGGATGCTGTTTGTCACCGACACTCTTTCAAATATATGTCCAAGAAGCATTGAGGAATTGGAGAAATAAATGTAGATTTATGGGCATCGAAGTGGGACAAGAAACTTTGTATACATTGTTGTTTTCAGATGATGATGGTTGATTCGGATAACCACCGTTATATGATGATGAAATAATTTTCTTCAGTTAAAAAAACGTTTCTTGACTTATTCCAGATGCCCCTGAAGATGCTCTAGGAAGCGAAGGTACTTGGGGAAGATTTAATAAAAAAACTGTGCTCGATATCTTTAATAGCGCGCCTTTAATTTGTAAAGTTAATATACTCGAGGAGTCAACCATAATTTTTATAAAATAATATTTCTGCGTTTATATTTTTGATAGTATTCATTGTTATTCACTTTGTTAGTTTAATGATGTGTTTTCATACTGGGTGTGTCTGTAATGTTAAAGGAAGATAAATTTGTACTGATTTCTGCATATAATTTATTTTATTCTCTTAATAGATTAAAGCACATTTATTCAAAGACACGCACACAACAAACAAATATAAATCAAATACTATTCCATTATATTCCAAATACGGAACTTAATCATACTCGATACGGTAGAAAGAAAAAGAGCGGAATCAACCTAAGCTATCAGATCGGAGTAACGGGCCCCAGCTGCATAACATCTACACAGATGAACGACTCTCTGTCTTATCATAAATAAATCCATCTCGGTTTTGCCTACAAGAAGTGACCCCGATGGCCTGGTAGCGGACCACGCCTAGACCTTATGCAACACGCGATCATTTTTTGCAAAGTCTTCTACGCGGCGCGGCGGTCGCGTTCTGATTCCGCGGAAAATGAAAAATTAGAAGGTAAATGGGTAACGGATCGAGAGAAGTGTTCTACCTTGTCTTGATTGAAATTATATGGATGTTACTATCTGAAGAACATGTACCTCGTCAATTTAACTAGTCTGTTATCGCTTAGTCTTGCTTCATAAATTATTTTAAACAAGTATTAAAATTGTTATTCTATTTTCCCCATATCTCAATACTTCATGTTGATTTAATACCATCTTTTTAGATCGACGTTATGGTTCGTGGTTCGAGTGGTAATACCAATATTTTTGTATCGTTTTCATTTTATCTGTAATTGATAATTCATAAAAATGGATACTATTTAATACTAAACCACGAGTAATTATTGTTTTAATTATGTAATTAATTGCATAATTACAATATATTAACACATTTATGCCCATAACTATTTTTGTCAAAATATCTCAATGATTTTTTCAAAAATATAATAAAATACCCTTAAATACATTAAAAATTACTAAAAAAAATTTTCAAAAACTGGTTTTTTAAAAACATGCTGGGTCGTTAACGACCCGTTGGGCATATAGGGGTACAAAATAATACTTATAGTAACTTTTATGCAATTACATTTTATTTTATTTTCTTTTAACAAATTAAATATTTACTCCCTAAAATGAAAACAATAAAGCAGGCATAGTTTAATTATATTACAATTATATTACAATTACAATTTAATTTTTCTTTTAAATAATAAGTCACAAAATTTTGGCCATTTAAATCATAGATAAATATAATATAGTTGATTTAAAAAATATTGTCAAATATTAGAAACGTCAATATGACAAAACGCAACACGTAACACACATTCTTTTCACGGCGTCTGGCCTGACTTTTAGGGGTGGCCTGAAAAATGTATTATATTTTAGCAAAATTTTGGAATACGTTTAAGTCGTAGAACAATTTTAAAAATTGTTTTCGATACATATTTGAGTCCTCTACAAATAGTTTCCCATGACTTTTGGTGTAAAATAATTAGGTAAGCAGGAATTCAACAATTTAGAATTTCTCATTGAGTTTCCTATGGCCCGTTTGACGATTCACCACCCTGTATATATATATATATATATATATATATATATTGTAGCGTTTTATATTTAATGTCTAAATAATAATATAAATTCGATTCTATATAGTACGCCCCTGGTACGCTAGAAATGTGTTGTCTGTAGAGATTTTTAAATACGCAATAATTCTTCAATAAATAAAAACGTTTTAGCTAAAGAGAACAATTTATGGCTTTTTAACTTCAACGTTCCCAGAAAAATATTGCAACCTTGGTATTATTTTTTCTAAAGCGCAGTAACGCCGGAAGTTTTTGAACGAATTTGAGTAAAGAATTTGTTGATTTGACAAGATGGCAATGGTTTTGTGCGGGGAAAAGAGGGGTTACTATCCGGAGATTGAGATCGAGAGGGTCAGCGAAGTGAGTGATGAATAATTGCTCGCAGCGAAAGGTCGTTTTAATGGTGATGTGGTAAACCGGCATTCATTCGCCAAAATGGTGGAATTTTCATTCTAAGTAATATGTCGTTTCTGAAAGAGTGACCAGTAACCACTGTTTTTATTTTGGCTGAAGATTTATGATGTTTGAGCAGTGAACAAGTTTAGTTCCTGCTTTGTTTTTCGTTTTTTGAGAAATCCAGTTCCTTTCCGAGATGCCCTTTTCACCTCATGTAGAATAATATTGGAGCAGTTTTGATTTGGATGTGCCAGTTTCAGCTTCCAATAGAGCTTTCCGTTGATGTGCAGTTAGATACCCCGCAGAAGTTAGCCAGTTGTTCAAAAGTTTAAGTTAACATGTGTGAACTGAGGTAACATTTACGTTATTAATTTTTAAAGTAAAAATAGACATTTTCTTTTAAAAAGACAAAATTTGCTTTCTTTTATAAATTATTTAAAAAAATATATATTTGTAATTATATTATGTTAGGGCCTGGTTTAAACTGTCATGTCATAATTTTATCCTGTTTTAAAAATGTTTGTTTTGACGTATGACAGTTTGATTTTTAATCTATTTTGATTTGTAGTAAAGATTAAATTTTATTCTTTATAAAAGGATATCCATAAAATTTGGCCACATTATCTACTAGGAACCATTTCAGAGAATTTTGTAACCTTTTGTTAACAGATATGTAAGTTTTTTGTCATTTGTATTTGACATATTTTGTCATATATAATATGCCTTTGTTGCTGTAAGTTGTATTGCTTTATAAGCTGTATTTTTGAAAACTGTTTGAGACAATAATAAATTTAGATTTGTTTCCCTAATCTATTTTTTTATTTTATTTAGAAAAATCTCCTAACCTTTTTTTTTATTTTATATAGGTACTAGGGAAGAATTTTTTCTTTCCTTCTGTAAGCTAGGATCCTTCAAGTGGCGCCCTATAACAAATTTCTTGAGGTGTCCCCAGTTTATTTTTGATCTTTTGTCCTATCAATTGCCCAGGAGATTTATGTAAGTATCCCTTAGTTTCAAGTAGTAGATACCCCAATCCGAAACCCTTTATTTCAACTTATCCACGACCCAGCTCTCCAATAACCAACTGAGTGTCGTTCGCACTTGTTTCGATTATTTTGTTTGCCCAATCTTGTCCCCCATATTCCTACCCTGTGGTAAGCAAAATAGTTGTTACAATATATATATTTAGAAACCCTCTACGTTAATTTCATCTATAAGATATCTTCATATTCTAACTTTCTACTCGAATCCTAAATACTTTTACTGCTACATAGATTAATTTTCATTCCTATCGACTCATATAAATAACCATCACTTCTATAGACTAGAAAATGAAGGTACTAATGAGATTTTATCTTTAGAGCCTCTAATTTCGTTTACTACCTATAAAAGTAACTTGATATTCATATTAATTAACCATTTAAAACTAATATTTACCTCAGCCATAAAGATTCGGCTTAGTCTGGCTAATTAACTCTTAACGCTGACATATATTTGAGTAATAAAATTAATTAACTTCGGATGAATGCATTTCCTGCATGTCTTGGCTGTTTTATTTACATCGCAGGATACGCGCCATTTGATCGAACTACACGAGACAAAATGAAAATATGCAAATTTATTCTAAATAAGCATTGATTTGAGCTGCAATTTTACGAAAACAGTTCGTCGTTATTTTGTTTTAATGAAGATTTTACCGTTTGAAACAGGAAATGCGTCGATGTACTATTTGCGAAAGTTTTAAGTTAACAATATTGTTGTTTTTATTACCAAAGATCTAGTATGATTATGATCATTAGAGTAGTAAAAGGCACTGGAGTTCTACATAATCTTTTAATCACTTTGTTTGCCTATCTTATCAGTTAGAGCTAATTTGTATAAAATGATGAACAAAAATTCAATTAGAACTTTAAATATTATTGTTTATTTGGCTAATAATGAATGTATAAATATAATGGTTAACCTGCTGTACAATCATTTTGTAAATAATATTATAATAGAACAAAACCGATGCTTTATTATCAACAGTGATTGTGGTTAATTTTTCATTTTCTTGTTATTGGGTCTTTTGTTTTAAAAATTGTAAAGTCCAAACTGATCCAGGAGCAGCGGTTTCTAACATAGTCGTTAAACTTTCCGAAGAAACTTCTTGTCCTTTGGCCGATGTTAAAGCCTTTTTGTCATCGTCTGCAAAGCCAGTAATAATTTTAACACCAGTGGTTTTATTAAATGTCGAAGACATCGATTGGCCAAAACTCATCAAGTAACTTCTGGTGGCCACTAATACGGGAGATAAGTTTTTCTCTTCCACAAAATTATTTGTCATCAACAAAATTGAAAAGTGCCAGTGAAAATTAGAATGTAGAAATATAAAAGTGATCCAATATGCTAACATTTGCTTAATGTCGTTAAGTCTCTTTTAATGTCTTTAAGTGTATAAATTTTGAAATTGATATGTTTAAAGCTCGTAAAGTTATTCACACAGAAATATGGAACACATTTAAAGATCTTACCTTGAAAGTAATACAAAAATATTCAACAACGTTACACAGGTACAAAAAACAACAATGGATGACTGATCAAATCCTGGAATTAATGGAGCAGAGAAGGAAACTGAAAGGTAACAAGACGGAATATAAGGAAAAACAGAAACTAATTAAACAAAAAATAAAGGTGGCTAAAGAAAAATGGATGGAGGATAAATGCAAGGAATTAGAAAAGTTGAATGAAAAACATGATACGTTTAATATGTTTAAAAAAGTTAGAGAAGTAGCTGGTCTTTATCATAAGAAAACTCCACATACCATAACCGATTCGTCGGGAAAAATGATAATAGACGAACATGAAATTCGAACAAATTGGGGTAATTATATAAGTGAACTGTATAATGATGATAGACCCGAAGAACCGGAGACTTTAGTTGAAGGTGAAGGACCAGAAATACTAAAATCAGAAATACTGCATGCTATAAAGTTAGCAAAGTACACGAAAGCCGTTGGCCCTGATAACATACCGACAGAGATGTTAAAGCTTATAAATGAGGAGAACATTGGAATACTGGTCAAACTTTTCAATGATGTTTATTCGACTGGTGATATCCCTGAAGATTGGTTAAAGTCCGAATTCATAACACTACCAAAAAAACAACGTCCGAAAAACTGTAGCGATTATAGAATGATAAGCCTTATGAGCCACACTTTGAAAATATTTCTACGCATCATCCACAGTAGAATCAGAGATAAATATGAAGAAGATCAGGACGAAACACAATTTGGCTTCAGAAATGTACTGGGAACTCGGGACGCCCTCTTTGCATAAAATGTATTGCTGCAGAAATGTCGAGATCAAAGGAAAGACGTCTTTGCTGTATTTATTGACTATAAAAAGGCCTTTGATCGAGTACAGCATCACAAATTAATTACAATATTAAAAGATAAAGGAGTTGATAGTCAAGACATACGATTCATAGAAAAGTTATACTGGCGTCAAATAGCGACAGCTTGCATAAACGGAAAATCAACAGAAATATGTAAAATACAAAGAGGTGTCAGACAGGGTTGTATACTATCCCCACTGTTATTTAATTTATATTCAGATAGAATATTTAAAGAAGCGCTACATAATTTGGAATGGGGCGTGAAAGTTAATGGAATTCTGATAAATACAATCAGATATGCAGACGATACAGTTATTTTAAGTGATGACATGAATGGATTACAATGCCTTTAAAATGCCATTGATAAAGTGGGAAGAGAGTTTGGCCTAAACATAAACTGTTCAAAAACAAAACACATGGTGTTTAGCCGTTTAGCACATCAAGATGCACGATTATATGTTGATGGTCATATAATTCAAAGAGTGTCCAGTTTTAAATATCTTGGTTGCCATATTACTGAACAACTAGATCCAGATCAAGAGATAAAATGTAGAATCGAGATAGCCCGCACGACATTTTTAAAAATGAGGTCATTCATCTGTAATGATAACTTGCAACTTCAACTTCGAAAGCGCATGGTTAAATGCTACATTTGGTCAGTCCTCTTATACAGTGTCGAAGCATGGACATTAAAAATATCCACGATTAATCGTCTGGAAGCCTTTGAGATGTGGCTGCACAGACGTATGCTAAAAATTCCGTGGACAGCTATGCTGACAAATGTGTCAGTCCTTGAGAGAGCAAATGCTGCTCGCGAGCTGCTTGATAACATCAAATGTAGAAAGATGGCCTATTTTGGACACATAGTAAGGGGAGACCGATATAATATTCTTCAACTTATTATGATGAGTAAAATCGAAGGACGCAGAGGAATTTGTAGAAAGCAGGCCTCTTGGTTGAAGAATATCCGGGAGTGGACAGGAATAAAGAAAGCTGAGCAACTATTTAGAATAGCTCGAGACAGAGACAGTTTCGCCATGTTAATCGCCAACGTCAAGGGGACTTGATAGGGCACGTTAAAAAGAAGAAAGTTATTCAATTTGTTTATAAACCTAAAAAAATGTTTAAAACTTTAAAAAAATTTCTAGGATCTCCTAGTGAACTGATTTGAATTTTACAAAAAGCGTTTGGGCCTTCTTTTATATATAAAAAAAATTGCAACTATCTGAGGGCCTTATTTAGGGCCTATCATAAATTTGAAAATTTGCGATTTTTTTCCAGTAGGCTGGATTGCAAAATTATTATGCAAAACCTATCCGACCGATTTTAACAAAATTTAGCACACGTTTTAAACATATTAAAAAGTTTTTTTAGGCGAAATATGGAGCTTGTAAGTCAAGTTTAGAAAGTCAAAAACATTTAAAGGATTAACTTCAATTATTACTATTTTTTCAACAATAAACATTAAATTTTTAATTTCTAGCTAACGAAATATTATGTAAAATTGAATAACGAACTTTTAACTTCTTATAATTTTTTCTCTAGGATCAATATTTTCCGCAATATAAACGAAAATAGGAACAAAAAAATGAGAAATTTTCAATTTTTTTCAGATCTGGTTAAATAAAAAATTTAGCACAGGGTTTGCGCCTGGCGCATATCGTAATTATCGATATTGGGCACATCCTGAAGGGATTCCAGCAAAAAAATAGCTTCCTATGGAAAATGTCCATTATGGTCTGAATTTCTACAAATGCCGCCTAGTCTATTTGAGGTATGTGTATATTAGATTGTTTTGTTAATGGAAATTTTTAGAATATAAATAGTTTGTTAAGATTAACATTTAAGATAAGACTAAACTACTGATCAAATCTAACCATTGTCATGATCCCCCAATTTACTGTTGTTTTATCGCCGATACTGAAAGAGATTTACGACCTCCTAGTGAAGAAATATGATATACATCACTTTCAGATGTTATCTAATAAAAAGCTATTATCTTCCAGCCTCGTATTCCTCCGCTACTGTTTAATATATAGCAGAAAAATCGTGCAAAAGGGTGCTCAAGCAGATATATTTCGGTTAAGCAGAAATTAGAATCGAAAGGTCTAAGTGTTACAGTCACGATGTTGTTAGTTGTCATGGCTATCTCGTTTAAAACTGCCGGTTGAATTAGTTTAGTACAGGCTCTTGCTGAATTAATTCCACCGAGTCTTATGTAGTTAGTTCCACGATCAGTTGTTTACTTCGGAATCGTCAGGTATCAAATTTTTTCAGTCGTATACGAGGTTTGTCGATAAAGTGGGTTCTTTTCAAAAGCAAAGTACCTTTATTTTGACAATATCAAAAAGTCTTATTAAGAAAAGTTGATTAGGAACATAAATCATGTTTAACAATGCAATTACACCAATTTATATTAAAAAAAGGAAGTAATTTAATGTATAGACTTCTTCCATTCAGCGAAAAAAAATTAGATGTTCAAGTAAAGTATCAGGAATAAAATATCATTAAGTGTTACATGGATCAATAAGTAAAGGAGTGTTTCTCCAGAGCCAGATTCAACAATATAAAGGTCTCCCTGACGCAACCCATTATTTGTTTTAAAAAGTTCAGACAGTTCCCCCTGAATTCAACTTTTTCTAGAGTTAGGTTTGTTAAGTTTACCAACTGATCTGGTACTCATGGCTCTTTTAATGATCTGAACGTTTCTCTTCTATTTACAGAGTCATAGGCTGCCTTGAAGTCTATTAATATGTGATGAGTATCTATTTCATAGTTCAGTGTTTTTTTCTAAATTTTGACGCAGGGTTGCAGTCTGATTAATTGTCAATTTCCCACCTCTAAAACCAGCCTGATATGTTTCTATTAATCGTTCTGCATTTGGTGCCATTTTCACAAGTTCCTGTCTTTGTATTTCAAATTTACTACAAGCATAAAAATGTGATCTAAGTCGCAAACCACATTGCAGGTTTCTCAAAGTTCGGTGTCAACTACACCGATTTTATATAAGTGTTAAGGGAAGCTCGCATGTCCAAATTTCAGCCTAAAAATGGTCACAATATCATTTTCCTTTAAAAGTTACTCTTAGATATCATTAAATATTGTTGAGCTCCTAAATTGTTCTTGTTATGATGTCCAGTCTTAGCGATTTCTTTGGCTAAGGAATCTGCAACTCAATTGCCACGAATTGCCCATTATGATCTTTTACCCAAGTGAATTTTACTTCGTGTTGACTTTTTTATTTTATAAATTCTTACTATTAATTCTCTAATAAAAGGATTTATATTAATAGCCATCACATTAATTGGGTTAGCTATGCATTTAAGAACAAATAAGGGAGTCACTCAAAAACTGTATGTTTCTCAATTTGTTTTTTTTTTTATATAATCGCAGGCATTATTAATACCAACGTTTCTGAAGAAAAAAATTGAGGTATTGTTATTTAGTGTGAATTTTTCTTGAACGATTGTTAATGGTATATAGACGATGTGCAGTCTATATTACTGCATCCTGAAATTACAACCCAAAAATATACATTTACCTCCAAATTATAAATTAGTTTCTCTCGATGTGGTATCTTTATACACCAATATTCCAATAGCTTTAGCGAAAGACATTATTAAAAAAAAAGTGAAATGAAATCAAAGTGTTCACAGACATCCCCCTAGAAGAATTTCTACTGTTATAGCAGTCAACAACACTAAAGTCAATGTATTTCATATATAAAAACAAAATCTTCCAACAAACAGATGGGTGTGCTATGGGTGCTAGCATATGCAGAGCATCTAGAGGAAATTGTTTTAAATAAAATAAATGTTTATATATCTTTTTTCTATCGCTATATAGATGACTGCTTGAATGCAGCACCAGAGGATAAAATGGATATTTATGGTCAAATTAATTTTCTGGACCTGACCTTACATAGAGAAATCAGCACTATAATTACTTCA